TTTTTAAATAAAACCATGGGCATGGAATTTTTAAAAAATATTTTTTCAAGTCGAAAATTAGGCGTGGATTTTTTAAAAATATTTCTTAGGACCAACCATAGGTTTGGATTTATTAAAAAATATTTTTCATGCCAAACCATCGGCAGGAATTTGTATACCCTTCACCAAACTGTGGTACAGGGTATTATGTCTTTTGTAACAGGCAAAAATAGTCGAATAGACCCATGGTTCCTTTTGAGAGTATGCATAGAATCACTTTCTGAGTCGATTTATGCATGTCCGTCTGTCCGTCCGTCCATGTATTTTTGTTAACAAAGTGCAGGTCGCATTTATGATCCGATTTGGATGAAATTTGGCACAGGTCACTTGATTGGCCCAACGATGAACTCTATTGAAATTGGAGAAAATCGGTCCAGATTTAGATATAGCTCCCATATATATTTTCGTCCGATTTTATGTAAATGGTGCACCAATGTCCCTATATATCATTTTGAAATTTGGTATGGCGAACTGAATTGAGTCTAGAATAATGTGTGCGAAGTTTCGATTTGCATGAAATTTGATATGGCGAACTGAATTGAGTCTAGAATAATGTGTGCAAAGTTTCGTGAAAATCGGTTCAGATTTAGATATAGCTCCCATATATATTTTCATCCGATTTAAAGTAATTGGTGCACCAAAGACCCTATATATCTTTCGATTTGCACGAAATTTGGCACAGCGTAATGAATTAGGTCTAGAATGATGTGTGTTAAGTTTCCTAAAAATCGGTTCAGATTTAGATATAGCTTCTATATCTGACCAAATGGAAAATTTAGTATCGGTTGCTGAATGACTGGTTTATGGATCCAATTTCATTTTACTGATCCTTTAAAAATGCAATGTCGGTTAGGATTCATCTGTTGAATATACCCAAAGTGGTGAAGGGTATCATATAGTCGACCCCGTCCGACCTTACTACTTTCCTTACAGGTTTTTTATTATTTTTTTAATTGATCCCTCATTTAAATTTGATCACTCTCTTGGCAATCCAATGTGTTATTCCTATTAAATCCTTATGAAACGAAGAATCATAATTGAGTCTATTAAGATTATAATAGTTATACCCATATATATACCCGTTCCTCATATCCTTCTCCTCCTCTTCTACTCCATCATCCCGTCAACTGGCAACAAATTTACAGGTAAATTTAAATTACGCTGGTGTTTAGATTTAAGTCACTAATAACAAGCGATTAGCTTCTTAAGTAGACTTTTTTAAAAGAAATTGTGCTCCTTGCTCTTCTCATTTGGGATTTCCATAGAATTTTGTTTTTCATTCTTCCAGCTGAGAATGATTGCCATGATTATGATGATGATGTTAATGATTAGTATGTGTTTGGAAAATTGCTAATAAAATGGACAGGCAACGGGCGTGTATTATGGAGAAGTAGCAGCACACAATGTTGGCTACTTTACAACGGTGGTTTGGACTAATCAAACAACAACAACAACCGGTCTTGTGATTTGTGGTAACATCTGCCGGATAAGGACAGTATTTGGAGAAATTTGTATTTTGCAGAACATTCAACAGCAGCTTCATTAAAAAAAAAGGTAAGCGAGCCCAGGAAAAAAACTTAACACAATTACCATTAGCAAAGGTAAACGTCGAGGGAGGGGGGAAGATGTAGTACATCCATCCGCGCTTAATGCTGATGATGACGTGATGACATGCAGACGACAATATAATAATAAACAACCCGCCAGCCAGCCACCAGTGGCATCTCAATTTCAAGGAGCATCAGTTGTTTGAATTGGCTTTGAAAGGATCTTTATGTGTTTGATGTTGTTGTCGTTGTTGTGAGGAAAAAAAGCGTGTCAAACTAAAAGTTGAGGAGATTTGTCTGACAACAACACCAATTGCAATGGAAGACAAAGATGAAGATGAGGCATAAGAAGCCGAAGGAAAATAAGCATGACGACTTTTAGCTTTTACCATAATTTAAATAAGCCAATAAAAAAAGCTAAAGGAACAGAAGTCTTGGTCTTGGCTGTTTTGGAGGCTATAAAAAAACTCGAAGAAACAAAATATACACTGAGAAAAAAAATTGAGGTGGATTTTTTAAAAATATTTTTTTAAACCATAGGCGTGAATTTTTTATAAATTATTTTTTCAAGTCCAGCCATCGGCGTGAATTTTTTAAAAATATTTTTTCAAGCTCGACCATAGGCTTGGATTTTTAAAAATATTTTTTCAAAGCCCACACATAGGCGTGGATTTTCAAAAATATTTTTTCAAGTCCAACAATAGACCTGGAGGAGTGGATTTTTAAAAATATTTGTTCAAAGCCCAACCATAGGCGTGGATTTTTAAAAATATTTTTTTAAGTCCAACAATAGACCTGGAAGCGTGGATTTTTAAAAATATTTTTTCAAGTCCAACAATAGACCTGGAAGCGTTGATTTTTAAAAATATTTTTTCAATTCCAACAATAGACCTGTAAGCGTGGATTTTTAAAAATATTTTTTCAAGTCCAACAATAGACCTGGAGGAGTGGATTTTTAAAAATATTTGTTCAAAGCCCAACCATAGGCGTGGATTTTTAAAAATATTTTTTTAAGTCCAACAATAGACCTGGAAGCGTGGATTTTTAAAAATATTTTTTCAAGTCCAACAATAGACCTGGAAGCGTGGATTTTTAAACATATTTTTTCAAGTCCAACAATAGACCTGGAAGCGTGGATTTTTAAAAATATTTTTTTAAGTCCAACAATAGACCTGTAAGCGTGGATTTTTAAAAATATTTTTTCAAGTCCAACAATAGACCTGTAAGCGTGGATTTTTAAAAATATTTTTTCAAGTCCAACAATAGACCTGGAAGCGTGGATTTTTAAAAATATTTGTTCAAAGCCCAACCATAGGCGTGGATTTTGAAAAATAATTTTTTTAAGTCCAACAATAGACCTGGAAGCGTGGATTTTTAAAAATATTTTTTCAAGTCCAACAATAGACCTGGAAGCGTTGATTTTTAAAAATATTTTTTCAATTCCAACAATAGACCTGTAAGCGTGGATTTTTAAAAATATTTTTTCAAGTCCAACAATAGACCTGGAAGCGTGGATTTTTAAAAATATTTTTTCAAGTCCAACAATAGACCTGGAGGAGTGGATTTTTAAAAATATTTGTTCAAAGCCCAACCATAGGCGTGGATTTTTAAAAATATTTTTTTAAGTCCAACAATAGACCTGGAAGCGTGGATTTTTAAAAATATTTTTTCAAGTCCAACAATAGACCTGGAAGCGTGGATTTTTTTTTAAACATATTTTTAAATATTTTTAGTGACCTATCCTACCCTAGGCGTGGATTTTTCCACCTTAGGTCATTGACCTTCTTCGTTTATGGGAAAGAAAAACTTTTAATAACTGTCATTACATATTATTTGCCTTAATTAGTTTATTTATCACCCACCTCTCCCCCCTTGATACTCACCCTCCCTGATATGGCTTGCTGCCTTGTGAGTTATTCCCCGGATCTACACCCACCAAACCATCCTCGTCATATTCCACCAAATGTTGTTGTTGCTGCTGTTGTTGTTGGGAGCCTCGACGCTTCACGATATAAGTTTTGTTCAGAATATGCTCTTCATTTTGCGTTTGTTGACCTTTGGCAGCCTTCATTAGCAGTAGTTGTTGGTTCTGCTGTTGTTGTTGCTGATAATGGTGGTGATGGTGTTGCTGCTGCTGTTGTTGTATGAAATGTTGCTGTTGATTTGTTGTTATCGATCTCTTACCCCTGCGTGTCGTCACATACTCCACATCTGAATTCGCTGTGTGTCCTTGCATGAGGCTACTACTTTCAGCGGCACTGGTAACACTTTCAACCTGACTGGCTCCGTCATTGAACCATATATTGGGTGTGTGAATATTTTTCGGCGAATCACTTAAATAGCCGGAGGTGTCTTCCTCTTGGCAACCCAGGGGTGGGGGTGCAACGGGAAATTGTTGATGATGTTGCTGGGGAAATTGTTGTTGGTGCGGTGGCGGTTGTTTGGTGGATTTGTTTAGTCGATGTTGTTGGTTACTACCTCCCCCAACCACACCTCCATCAACACTCACAAGTTGTGTGGTGGCATTTGTTGGCTTACCAGCAGGTTTATTGCCCTGCTGTTGATGATAGACCACATAATCACGATGACGTATTACGGGCAGGCTGGGACTGCGTATACGTTGCATTCGCCCCTTGGCAGTTTGTAGGGTATTGGGCATGAGTTCAACATATGCGTACTTACGTTGACCCGGCATCTGACTCATTTCACTGGTGCTGTTATGGCGTTGATTGAGTAGGACTGGACGTCCATTGGCATGTTGATATTGGCTACCTCTTCGTAAGGGTATATAGGCCTCACCTATATCCTCGAAATCGGCTTCATTACCTATATCGTCGCCGTCATCGCCGATGTAGTTATTCATATAGTCCACTACATGATGACCTCTGGCCTTTGGCTTCAATGCTTGGCTGCGGGGAACCAATGCATGCATATTTTCGGTATCCAGAGGTTCGGGTGGTGATAGTAAATCGGAATTTGGTGAAAATGGGGGATTGTGTTGCTGATTATGGTGATGTTGTTGTTGCTGCTGCTGTTGTTCTTGTTGATATAAATGTTGTCGGGAATTTTTTCGTGTGGTTTGGCTTAGATCCAAATTCGAATAAAATGTGCGTATGGAAGTGCGTTGTTCGATTTTCTGATGATGATGGGTGGATGATGATGAATGGACGGAAGAAAACATTTCATCCAGTTTGGCAATTTCCTCTGGAATACAATAAAATTTTTAAATTTCAAAAATAAGCATCTCTATAAGGCGTGGATTTATTAAAACTATTTTAGGGACCTACATAAGCCGTGGTTTTATGGAAAGATATTTTTAGGGACCTACACAAGGCGTGGATTTATTAACAAATATTTTTAGGGACCTACACAAGGCGTGGACTTATTAAAAAGTATTTTTAGGGACCTACACAAGGCGTGGACTTATTAAAAAATATTTTTGGGGACCCACACAAGGAGCGGATTTGTTTAAAATATTTTTGGGGACCTACACAAGGAGCGGATTTGTTTAAAATATTTTTAAGCACCTCTACAGGACGTGGATTTATAAAAAAATATTTTTAGGGACCTACACAAGGCGTGGACTTATTAAAAAATATTTTTAAGCACCTCTACAGGACGTGGATTTATTAAAAAATATTTTTAAGCACCTCTACAGGACGTGGACTTATTAAAAAATATTTTTAGGGACCTACACAAGGCGTGGACTTATTAAAAAATATTTTTAGGGACCTACACAAGGCGTGGACTTATTAAAAAATATTTTTAGGGACCTACACAAGGCGTGGACTTATTAAAAAATATTTTTAGGAACCTACACAAGGCTTGGACTTGTTAAAAAATATTTTCAGGGACCTACACAAGGCGTGGACTTATTAAAAAATATTTTCAGGGACCTATATTTTAGGGTCTTACACAAGGCGTGGATTCTTTTTAACTATTTTCAAGGGTCTCATACAAGGCGTGGATTCTTTTTAACTATTTTCAAGGGTCTTAAAAAAACTCACCTTTTTCTTTGGCCCATTGTTGTTTCTTTAAATCCAGCAGTGTATGATTTTGTCGGCCTTCCGAACCCGTAATCATAACTGAAATAAAACGACAATAATGCAATAACACATATAATTAATTTTATCACTTAATCGCGTAAGGTCATTGGCTCGAAGTTGATTGGCCTTTTTAAGGTCAGTATGTAAAAAAGTAATATTTTTGGCCACCAATCCTCCTCAAGCCCCCACCCTCTTGTCTTTTTCACTTCACAACTCCACTCCACAAATACCACGGAAGTAAAACACAAATCCACCGAAATACCTTTACTATGTTGGAAGCCTTAACTAAGACTAAATGCTAGGGCGCAATAAATTTTCGCAACTTCGAAATTCCTTTAGTATCCTTAAACGAAATTTTTGCTTTTTCGTTTCCTTGTTACCACTTCGAGTTTGTTTATTTGTGTAATCTAATGTACCGAAATTTCAAGCCTTTCCTTTCAACAAATTGCCTCGAGGCAATAACTTCCTTGCCACACTTCAGTTATTTTTCTCTATACTTGTTGTCCTTGGCAACCAAAAAGCCCTGCTGATATGGTGTTGCCTTGCCGTGTCACATGTCCCTTACGCCAAAAGGAGGCTCGTTTCTAGCCTTCACGTGGTGTTAGCAACATATGTTTTGTAAACAAATCGGTATATGACAGTTCAGTTCAGTCGTAGTGACGGAAAGCTTTTCGTGTTCATGTCACTAAGGTGACGATGAAGAACTGTCAAGTTGGATCGGAAAGCTTCCTTGAAATGTTTTCAAGGAAGAAATTTGTATTTTATTTCAAATATAATTAAATAGAAATAAAAATATAAATAATGTTTATCAAAAATCCACGTCTTGTAGAAGTCCATAAAAATATGTTTTAAACAAATCCACGCCTTTCGGAGGTCCCTAAAAATATTTTTTTCAAAAATCCAAGTCCATAAACATATTTTTGAAATAACTTCACGCCTTGTGGAGGTCCCAAAAATTATTTTTTTAATAAATCAACGCCTTGTGGAGGTCCCAATATTTTTTTCTAAACCCACGCTTTGTATATGTCCTTGAAAATATTTTTTAATAAATCCAAGCCTAGGGTATGTCATTAAAAATATGTTTTCATAAATTCACGGATGGCTTAGGGGATGATAGATACCAAGCAACGGCTCTGATTAGCCTTAACATGGCAAAGTCCAGGCTTATCTTGGTCCCTCTTTCATCTCAATTGTGGACACTGACCTCCCCGTGGTGCCACCTGGGGTAGCTATTTTCATCACCCGATAAAATAGTGAGCTAATATGTGCCGCGAGTTCACCCATAACAACTATAACAAAATGGGTTGAGGCGTCGGGTTAGTTGCCCACACTCGGAAAACCCAACCTACTATGAACCAGTAAGGAAAGTAGTAAAGTCGGACGGGGCCGACTATATGATACCCTTCACAACTGTGGGTATATTATGCAGGAAATTTAACATGAAATTGGATGAAATAAAATATGTGATATTTATCTAGATGTGAATCTACCTAGATCTATCCATAAAGTATGTAAATCGACTTCAAACAAATATAAATAGGCCATCCGTTGGGCTATGCCTGTACTTCTAGAAAACGCAACTACGTAATTCTATGCTCAATTTTGTACGTTGTGTAAATTTGATGTCAATCTGACTAACATGATGAGTTTGATTACTTGAATTCGGGCGAAAATACATATTGAAGCTCTATCCAAATTTTAAGCGATTTCAAACAAACTTGTCACAGGTTAGGTTATACTAATTTCAGAACGTTTTGTTCCTATTGGCTCCTTGGTGCGTCAATTACTTAAAATCAATCTATAATAAAAGGAAGCTATATCTAAATCTGTACCGAATTTCACGAAACAAGGAAGACATCACTGTAGGCTCAATTCGGTACACTATGCCAAATTTCGTGCACATCGAAAGATATAAAGGGACTATTTTGCACCTTTTGCATTAAATCGGACGAATATATATATGGGAGCTATATCTAAATCTGAACCGATTTTCACGAAACTTAACGCACATCATTCTAGACCTAATTCATTACGCTGTGCCAAATTTCGTGCAAATCGAGAGATATATATGGACTTTGGTGCACCATTTACTTAAAATCTGACGAAACTATATATGGGAGTTATATGTAAATCTGAACCGATTTTCACGAAACTTTGCAGACATCATTCTAGGCTTAATTTAGTCCGTTATGCTAAATTTGGCGCAAATCGAAATATATATAGGGACTTTGGTGACCCATTTACCTCAAATCGGACGAAAATATATTTGGGAACTGTATCTAAATCAGACCCGATTTTCAGGAAACTTAATCCACATCATTTTATACCTAGATCATTACTCTGTGCCACATTTCGTGTGAATCGAAGGATATATAGGGACTTTGGTGCACCATTTACCTTCAATCGGACGAAAATATATATATGGGCTATATCTAAATCTCAACCGATTTTCACGAAACTTAGCACACATCATTCTAGGCTTAATTCAATACGCTATGCCAAATTTTGTGCAAATCGAAAGATATTTAGGGACATTGGTACACCATTTACCTAAAATCGGACGAAACTATATATGGGAGCTATATCTAAATCTGAACCGATTTTTCCCAATTTCAATAGGGTTCGTCCTTGAGCCAAATAAGTGACATATGCCAAATTTAATCCAATTCGGGTAATTAATGCGACCTGTACTTTGTTTACAATTTAACACCAACAGACGGACAGACGGGCATGCATAAATCGACTCAGAAAATGATTCTATGCATATTCTCATAAGGAACTATGGGTCTATCTCGTTTCCTTTTGCCTGTTACAAACATATGCACAAAGACATAATACCCTGTACCACAGTGTGGTGAAGTGCATAAATACACGCCTTCTATAGGACCCAACAATTTTTTTTTAATCCATGTTTTCTATCGGACTCTAAATATAGTTTCTACTTACTCCCGTATGTCCTTTTTAAGATATTTGTCTGTAATAAATCCCCGCCTTAATAATTGCTTCCAACTCTGGCCACACTGACCACTCTCCACATCAATGTCAGACATCTCGTCTATGGACCATGTCCATTTGTCTCGCAAATGATTTAGGAGTTGTTTTCGTTTCGATACAATGTTGCTTTAAATACCTTGAACGAATATTTTATTTTCGAAAATTGTTGTTGTTGTTTTTTTTTGTCATAATTTTACATTTTAACACCAGCGATTTTTTATGACCCAAAGGGAGCTGGATGAAGTCGGCTGGCAAAATAGTTTTGCTAAACTATTTAGTTCATTTACCAAATGGTATTGGAGGAGATATAGAAGAGATCGTAAAAAATTGTTGGCATATGTCGTAAAATGAATTTATGTGTGTCAGTGGAGGGATCATTGGCGAAGTGGCGGGGGAGGAGAACTGGAGATCCCTATAATGATATATTCACAACTTTGTTTTAAAAAACATAATGAACGAGTATGAATGTGAGGCGGCAATAAAATAGATTAGGAAGCTAGTTAAAGAAACGTACGAAGATATAAAGCAGAATGATGAGGAATCCAGGAATTCGATGTAAAAATATGGGAATTCCAGAACAATATATTGAAAGTCATTGGTTACAAAATATTAGCCCAAATGCCTATGAAAAGAGTAGTGGCTGCAAAAGTTGTGGATGGTGAGGTGAAGAGACAATTTTAGAAATATATTTTATTTTTTTTCAATTCTTCGACATTTCATAAAAATTAAAAAAACGTTATTTCCCAAATAATATTTATAATTTTTAATTACCCTTTCCCAGCATTCTGTCATATAATATACCAATTACCACGCCCTACATCTTCATCATTATCATTTTGAAGCTTGCAATTATTTTTCTTGAACGTCGATTTCAAAATCCAATATTTTTTAAATCACCACCACGCCACCCATTATCTCAGTAATGCCCATATAACTGTCATATAACCTGCCATAGTCCATTATTTTATGTTATTGTTATTGTTGTTGTTTATTGTTTTATTTTTCATTATTTAATCGCTGGCAAAGAAAAAACTCCCACCCATGACTTATGTATGTTAACATGACCCAATGACCCCATAGATATATATCTCGGTAGAAAATTATCTGCTTAAGCAAAATCCACACGACACAGCACCGTCTGTCAACAATAAAAGAATCAACAACAACACCAGCAACAATTGTGTTGTTTACAACAATTGTTTGTTAAGAATACAATAAAATACAATGTTCTTGCGGATCAGGCGAATGGATGTCTTAATGGTTAATTAAGAATGTAAAAAAAATCAACAACTAAGAACGAACTTTTTTGGTGGATTAAGACAGGTGGATTTTTTTAAGAATATTTTTTGAAGCATCAGAGACCTATACAAGACAAGAATTTTTTAATAATATTTTTCATAGACCAACACAAGGCGTAGATTTTTTAAAGAATATGTTTCAGAGACCTATACAAGGCGTGGATTCTTTAAAAAAATATTTTTTTATGAAACTAAACAAGCAGGGAATTTTTAAATAATATATATCAGAGGCCTATACCAAAGCCAACAGAGCTTGGATTTATTAAAAAAAATATTCTTCAGAGGCCATAAGGCGTGGATTTTTAAAGAATATTTTTCAGAGGCCTATACAAAGGCATATAAAAGGTGTGGATATTTTAAAGAATAGTTTTGAGACGCCTATACAAGGTGTGGATATTTTAAAGAATAGTTTTGAGAGGCCTATACAAAGGCATATGAAAGGCGTGGATTTTTAAAGAATATTTTTCAGAGGCCTATACAAAAAGGCATATGAAAGGCGTGGATTTTTAAAGAATATTTTTCAGAGGCCTATACAAAGGCATATGAAAGGCGTGGATTTTTAAAGAATATTTTTCAGAGGCCTATACAAAGGTATATGAAAGGCGTGGATTTTTAAAGAATATTTTTCAGAGGCCTATACAAAAAGGCATATGAAAGGCGTGGATTTTTAAAGAATATTTTTCAGAGGCCTATACAAAAAGGCATATGAAAGGCGTGGATTTTTTAAGAATATTTTTCAAAGGCCTATACAAAGGCATATGAAAGGCGTGGATTTTTAAAGAATATTTTTCAGAGGCCTATACAAAGGTATATGAAAGGCGTGGATTTTTAAAGAATATTTTTCAGAGGCCTATACAAGGTGTGGATATTTTAAAGAATATTTTTGAGAGGCCTATACAAAGGCATATGAAAGGGGTGTATGTTTTAAAAAAATTTAGAGGCCTATACGAAGGCATATGAAAGGAGTGTATGTTTTAAAAAATATTTACAGGCCTATACGAAGGCATATGAAAGGAGTGTATGTTTTAAAAAATATTTACAGGCCTATACAAAGCC